CCTGCCCCGCCCCCCGGCGGTGACGTCAGCGCGTTGGACAGAACGGCCTCACGTGACGCGCCGGCACGACCACGTGACAGCCCCCAGGATGGCGCAGGTGGCTACTCCTGACCCCCCGCGGATGGGTAGGTGCATCCCCCTCGCCCTTTTATTGAGCTGTGGGCGCAGCGCCGCGTTCTGCGCCTATCCCCCGTCTACCTCCGTCGGCGCGCGCGCGGCAGTTAACGGTCGTTCCATGGCCGTTAACGGCCCCCCTAGGCCGCGGCTCAGTTGCCCCTTAGGGCTGCGCGTGTGCGCCAGGCTAAACAAATCGAGTGGAATCGATATCAGGTTTCCCCGAAGAACCTGGCTGTCTTTTCTTGCTGGGATCACTTGATCCCAGCTGACTTCCTGCCTGGCGGGGAAGGGGCTGGACTGGATAATCTCATGAGGTGGCTTCCAGTCCCTGATGTCTATGAAATCTATCAAACCCTGTCTGAAAAAAAAATTGAGTTGATGTTAGGTTTCCCCAAAAAACTTTGTCCGAAAAAAATCGAGTTGAGTTGATGTCGGGTTTCCCCAAAGAACCTGGATATTTTTCTTGCTGGGGTCACTTGATCCCAGCTGACTTTCTGCCTATGGCGGCGGGGCTGGACACAATCTCATGAGAGTCTTTCCAGCCCCTAATGTCTATGAAATCTGTGAAACCTTGTCTGAAAAAAAAAAAATGGTGTTGAGTTGATATCAGGTTTCCGCAAAGAACCTTGTCTACCAAAAAAGTCAAACCATCCATGTCTTGATAGAGATATGGGTTGAACTCCCCCTGGACTCCCCGAGCAGCCTCTTGGCTCCATGTCATGCTGTTGTACTGGGCACATTGGCGCATGGCTAGTGCTGGATTTAGGTTTTGGATACTTAAGCTATAGTTTAGGGTCTCACCCTATGAGGGGCTGCTAGTTAAGAAAAAAAAACTGGGTGTTTTTGTTCTGATATGACAAAAATAGACATATATAGTATGTTGGACATAGTTATTGTTCATGTTGGGTTCATAAATGTGTGCAGAAATAACAATACAGGAATTCGCAACTTGTAGGGGTGCATGCAGGTGCATGTGCACCTCCTGAGGGTGGTGGTGCACCCCCTATGAAAAGGTGCCACCGACACTACCGGCAGTGCCTGCAGGCAGTCACCACTTGCCATCCCACCCAGCGTCTGTGGGAGGTCTGCGATCGCCGCTGGCCAGTGCTGCTGGCGGTGTCTGCAGGTGGTCACCAACAACCAGTCGTGCTTGGAAACCGTGCGCCCCCCGCCCCCCCCACTGACAGGGCTATGGCTGCCTGCGAGAGCTTACCGCCACCGTGCTCCCACTGCCAACAGCACCATCACTACCTGCGGGAGCTGGGCGTGGCCCCCTAGCCTCCAGGGGCATGTGACATTCATGAATACAGGTTTCCCTCGCCAACCCCAGTTTTGACAGTTGTTATTCATATAGAGTTCATAAATTTGTGCAGAAATAACAATACAGGTTTCCCTCACCAACCAGTTTTGAGTATCCATGCTTAATATTCTATATAAACCGTTGTGGCTACCATGGTACACAGTTTTGAGTAACCATGGTTTTCTGTGGCCACGCATCAGCCTGCCACCTGCCATTTTTCCTAGTAGACTTTTGTCTTGCCAACCACGGTTTTACCAACCACGGGAACTTTGAGGAGCCTAACCCCAGCGGTTGGCAAGGGAAACCTGTAATTCATCTTCAGATGTCATGAAAATCCATTTTCGTGCATTATTTTTATCGTATGTGGCCTCCTAAACTGGACATAGTTTAGGGACCCAGCATGTCATAATGTGTCACTGCTTGTGCCCCCTCAGCTTTGGTTTCCATCTTGATGGGGAGTTCGCAGCTGTAGTGCGCTGGGGTGGTTGGGTTTGTGGGTGGGCCCTGTCACCACTGGGCCTCAAATAATTGATCTTGGGCAGCTTTCACCCGGTTAGTGGATGTCGCACGTCTTCCAGGCCTGTGATGTAGCCAGAGTAGTTCTCTTTTCCCCGTGCTGCCAACCCCAATCTCACCTGCCATGACTTGGTGTTCCTCAGTGGGCGGGGCTGGTTAGCCCTCAGTGGCCCGGGTTCTGCCCCGCGGTTTCTCACAGGGCTCCGCCACCCCTACACCCTGGCTTCACGTCACCTTTGGTGAGTTGCCCAGTCGTTGTTATAGCCTCTCCCATGGGGTCACTTTCCCTGCCGTCGCCTTATGGCTATCCTTGGCTTTGCGCCCTGCTTACTCATGCGGGCCCACCCTGGCAACTATCCGCACCCTCGTCCCTCACTTCTCAGGTGCCTACCCCATGGGGTAGCAATCCCGTAGTGACCTTCCTATTGCCTCGCCCCTAGGATGCTTATCTCACCTCCCTATGCTCCTATGTCTCGTGTAACAAGAAAGAGAACAAAAGAAAAACTTCAAACAACAAAACTGGCTAGTAACCTTATTCCTGCCCCCCAGTGCCCCACACCGGAGCCCAATGGGGAGGAAACGGGGTCCTCTTGACTCACCTGGGTTCCGTCATGCTCCCTGGGACCACCTTCATCCTTCCTCTAGCTGGCATGCCCTTTGTCCCACCATTGACCAATGTGTCTCTCTGTTGTGGGGTCCTACTCTCCCCAGCCTGTGTCAGCTCCAACTCGCTTGGCTCCTTGGGTCCAGTGCGTGGGGTCTCCTCTGCTCCCTGCGTCAGCCACAGCTCTGCTTCCTGGCTATCCTCCCCCTCCGTCATTGCGGCCGCCGTTTTTATCCTTGCTGGATGGCATCCAATGCTGACGTCACTGGCTGGCTGTAAACGTACAAAACGGCAGCTAACGAGCCGCGCGGGTTTCTCCTCCTGATCTCCTTGTGTCTCGTCCCGGGCTGCCGGTAAGTGTTGTTCGTTACCCTGCCTCCCAGGACAGGCCCCAACAGACAACCAGGAGACTGGCTGGCTGGGGTGCAGGTGGCAGGTGCCAAAACATCATATCAGCGGTGGAGTGTCCTGAGTGAAAACCACATTCACTTTTAGGATAGATTCTTTCACCTAAAGACTGCAGGCTAGGGGCCATGATGCAAGTGGGGATTTTTCTGATGATGTTCAATAGGGAGATACCTCTGTAGTTGTCACGGTCCCTTCTATCCCCTTTGTTTACACTGAGCATCTTTGAAAATTTCCAGTACCACTTCCTGACTTTGTGAAGCTTCCAAAGTAATTCGTCATTGGCCTGTTTGTAGATTTCTGCAGGAAAACAGTCATTGCCGAATATCTTGTTCCCAGGAATCAATGTAATGGCTTTCTGCAAATCTTCTAATGTAGGCTCATTGTCTCTATCCATCATAACTTCAAACTGTGACAATCCTTCAAGCTCTTCATGTCTGATTTTAGTCTTGCTGGAGTATGTAGTTCCATAGTGTTCAATCCAACGCTCAAGTTGTTTTTGTTTATCAGCAATGACATTTCTGTTTAAGTCTTTCAGCAGAGCTTTTTCTTCTTGACTGAACCAATTGCTTGTTTGACATCTTTGTGTATTCCATGGCTTTTACCTATGTCAGATGCTTTCTGAATATCCTTGCAGAGTTTGAGTAAAAAATATCGGGCACACCTCTTAGCCTCCTTTTGCGTTTCTCTTGAAGCCTTTCTTAGATTTTCTAGGGTTATGGTGATGGGAGATTTCTTATAGTTGGTTAGCACTGTCCTTTTATTCTCAACCAGTGGAAGAAGGGTTTCAGAGTGCTCTTCAAAACAGTCTGTAATTTTCTTGCATTTTTTGCCAAGCACTGTTATAGCAGCATTGTACATGTTCGCTTTTAAGCTTTCCCAGACCTTGGTGGCTGAGTTGTTAGGTAAACTTGCTTTTACAACCTCATTGAATAGTCTGCATTTTTCTATGACTTTAGTCTGGCTGATGACTATCAGAAGGCGACTGGTAGTTTTGCTACGGTGGTTCTTTTTGACATTGATTTGACTTTGGCATGGTCAGTGTCACAGTCAGAGCTGTGATAAGACCTCATATGCAGGATTTCTTTCAGGTGGTTACGCCTAGTCAGTACTAGGTCTAACTGGCGCCAGTGCCCTGATCTTTCCATGCTGTCTTTCTTGTAGGGCTGTCAATTGGCATTAATGTGCGCGATTAATGCAAGAACCAATTAACGCGTTAATTTTTTTAACGTGTTAATCATGCACATGGTTTCGGAGCCTGTACCCGGGCTCCTGTCTGCCACCATCATCACTGTGTGCAGGCACACAACTGCAGCATGCATGCAGCCAGAAATGCAGGTCGCTGCCGTGTAGAGCAGCACCCAGAAGGTAAGTCTGTGGAGGGGGAGGGGAAAGGGCGAGGGGGAAGTAAAATGGTGGGGGAGGGGAGATGGAGGCCCCCACGGTGAGGGAGGGAGTGGGGCAGGGGCAAGGGCTGGAGTGAATGGGGCCCCAAGGCCAGGGCAGGCTGTGGGATGGAGCTGCAGGCAGCTCATCCAGGGGTGCGGGGGTGAGGGAGGGAAATGCCATGTTGTGCCTCCCACTGCTGGGTAAGATAGGGAATGTGCAGCCAGTACACGGCTCCTGGGGCAAGGGCAACAAGACGCAGAGCCCCATCCCACAGTGGGCAGCCTGCTTCCATCCCATGCACAAATTTGGGGTTCACATGCCTCCCATGCTTCTCCCAGGGTTGCACGCAGCAGCAGGGAGCTGACCCCCTCTCTCACTGCACCCCTGGACAAGCCGCCTATGGCTCCATCCCAAGACCCAACCCGGTCCTGGGGTCCCATTCACCCTAGCCCCTACCCTGCTCCCTCCCTCACCGTGGGGGCTTCCATCTGCCCCCCCACCCTTACCTCTCCGCCTGCCTCTTCCCCTCCCCTTCCACTGATTTACCTGCTGGGCACTGCTC